ATGGATGCATATAAATACCTATATATGAACACACACACACACAAACACATATACATACATATTCCCGCGCCTCTTCAAACCCGGAAATACTAAGTGACTTCAGCTTCTCAGTCACACATAAAACATGATTTACGGCGTAACGAGCTGACGACCGAACAAATGGATGAAACAGGCAAGAAGGTGATTTAGATTATTATTGTCATTCTCATGAAATCGTCATTTTCCTCTATATTATCATCATCATTTTGTTATTATTAGTATCATTGTTGTTGTTGTTGTTATTATTAGTATCATTATTATTATCATTATTATTATCATCATCATCATCATCATCATCATCATCATTCTTCTTATTAATATTATTATTGGTGTTGTTGTTTGTTATTATTATTATTATTGTTGTTGTTTGTTATTATTATTATTACTGTTGTTGTTGTTATTATTTTTATTATTTTCATTATTATCATTGTTATCATCATTATTAGTATAATCATTATTGTTATTATTTATAATGATAATAATAATAATTATTATTATTTTTATGATAATTATTACTTTCTTCAGTGTTGTTGTTGATTATCATTAATGTCATTATTTAATGGAATGAATGTTGGCTTTTCATTGGTTATCTGTTTTTTATTTATTAACAACTTTTCTTTTTCCTTTATGTAATTTTTAGGGAGCTAGCATGAAACAATAGTGCAAGAAAACTTCGTTTATTAAAAAAAAAATATCACACATACAAATAGAAAGATGAAATCGGCATCATGTTTTATATTCCGTCGGTTACCCCACCACCACATTCCTCTATGCACGTAGCCCCTTCCTCACACACGCCTGTCACCCTGTTAAATATCTCGTTATGGGGACACAGGAAACTGGACATGGTGGGCGGCGTACAGAGGTAGAACTTGCGGCAGTCAGTCGGGTCTGGAACACGCTCATTCTGCTGGGTGCAATGGGGCTCGCAGACGTCGCAGTACTGGAAGCAGAGGGTCGAGTCGGCTTGGCATTCCCCGGCCATGAAGTCGAAGAAAGGCGTTTGACCCGGACAGCCAACAGACAAAACATGGCCGTCGTCGAGACATACGTAGTAGGTGGAACAATCCATAGGGTCTGGAGTGACTTCTCCCGAGTGGGTGCAGTGGGGTTCACACGGGTTGCAAAGTGAGGAGCAGAAGCCGTTGGGGGCGCTGCTTATGGGGTCGCAGCGGGGACTGGTGTGCTGGTCGTTGAAGTACTGTCCGTCGGGGCAGTCTACCGGGTCAATCGACGGTACTAATACGCCTGTAAGTAACAAATTCTTTTTATCATTAATGTGTAACGGGTGTGCCTGATCTATTCATAATGGCATGTAAAGACCGAGCAAGAAATAGAAGCAAGAAGCATAGAAAATGAAACATACCAGATCCGGTGGCGTCGACGCAGACGTAGTACCTGGTGCAGTCGGTGGGGTCCCGCACTTTGGTTCCGGGGTCCACGCCCGTGCAGTCCGGGGCGCAGATCTGCACGCTCGGGGACACCTGAAATATACAACACCCAGATTTCAAATGTCTTATTTACTTGATGGTGTCATTTGTTACTCGTTGGAATTGTATCTTAGTTTACTAAGGGGAGAATGAAATATTACTGTTTATATTAAAAATTCATAGGGATAAATCAAAATAGAGATCAGAAATAAACACCATGCGTAAAGAGGGACAAAGAAGAGATAAGAAATGTACTCTTGCTATGTGGAAAAACAGATGGAGATAACGCCTCATCGTCTATGAAGAAGTGGAATGATGCAATACAGACTCGGCATCGAAATGCCAGTGCTAACTGTTTAAAAGCAATCAGTAAAGTATACCTTCTAAAAACACAAAATTACTTTCATCCTAACAATAAAACGGAGAAAAGGCTAGCTGCATGAAAGTTAACAGTAAGAAGGACAAAAATATAACTTCTAAAAAAGCCAAATTACTTTCATCGCAAAGGGATTTAATGGTTCTGTCGTATTTCGTGTTGCTATGGCGTAATAACATCTACTTTAAGTGGAATACTATCCCTTTAATAGATTCAGGATCACAGAGGCTGGAAGTCTATGAACGCGAAAATTCTAATATTTTGTGAAAACTTTTCATCTGATATTCCGCATTCAAGGCACGGGCGCAGAACGTTGGTTGGAAGGCAAGTAAACGGTTATATCACTATACTTAAAATTCGTTTTCTTATGAAGTAAAATGTTAGGGCGTGAACATTTTTTTAACAACTTAATGATCCATAGAATTGAAAGCATCTCTAAAATCTAAAAAGTCTACCGTAAGACAATCTAAATGAACGAAATTAGAAGGAAAATGAGCTGACGTACCCGAAATCACGCTCACATAGTGGTATATGGAATAGTATATGTTTAAACCCGACCATAAAGTAAACTAGTTAAAAGGAAAAATAAGTTTAAGTATTAAGTATTGTAATATGAAAAGTAAAATACAACCAAATAAAGTAAAAGAAAGACCAAGGCTGAATGAAAGACCAGTTAGATACACACAGAGAGAGAGAAAGAGACAGATTGATAGATAGATAGAGAGAGAGAGAGAGAGAGAGAGAGAGAGAGAGAGAGAGAGAGAGAGAGAGAGAGAGAGAGAGAGAGAGAGAGAGAGAGAGAGAGAGAGAGAGAGAGAGAGAGAGAGAGAGAGAGAGGGAGGGAGAGAGAGGGAGAGAGACAGACAGAGAGACAGACAGAGTGATAGATAGAGAGATAAATAGGTGCAAAAACACACAAAACCTTACAGCCAGCGCCGCGAAGAGTAGAACTGAGTGTAAAAGATTGGCCATACTGCTATTGAAGAAGCGATACTGATGGACTAGTTTGAATCACACCTTATTTATAGGCCCGGGGTGACTGTTATTCGCTATCTTGCATAATCAAGGGCATCCGTTAACAGACGGCCGTTATCAAGAGCAATTTCCTCTTCTATGGCGTGGTATGAACTTGAGAGTAAGAGTAAGTAAAGGTGTCAACAGAGAGAGGGAAACAATCAATATTTCCATTGCGAGGGAAAATCTAACCAGGGATATAAAAACAGTTGTAATTTCTGTATGTGTTAACTCAATAAATCCGTTTTTTTTTTAAAGACCTAAAATGGAGAACTGGACGGCAGGATTTCATTATAGGAATAGCCCATTCATTTCCCTATCTTCCTTCGTTGTATTTTCTTCTTGATTTAACTATATTTCTGTAAAAAAATTAGTTCGGTTATTTTCTATTTATTCCTCTAGTTTTGTTTGCTGTCTGTCAGTCCGCTTATCTGCTTTGGGACAATAAACTTGTGTATATTATTAAAATTCCATTACACTTTTCGTGATGACGCTATGTTAAATACGCTTTTGTTAAATAGATTTCCACTATGATTTGAATTACCCACTTTTCCTGGGCTGTTGTAAAAGAACTGCTCACAAGGATAATATATCTCGTTGTTAGATATTCGAACAGTAAGTTATGGTTGAAGCAGGTTATGACATTAGATGTTAGTAAGGATATATGGAATCGCCTGTAGTGATAATAGCGTTTACAGTGCCTTTGGATTTTATTATGATAGTAAAAAAAAAAAAAAAAAAAAAAAAAAAAAAAAAAAATATATATATATATATATATATATATATATATATATATATATATATATATACAGAAAAAAATCGAAACTGAAAAGTAATAAAAAACCTTCCTTTGCTTAACATTTTCAAACCATGACCAATTTACAGGTTTGAAAGATCTGTGTCTCCTTTCTCTGTTAGGACTGTTTACAAATAATTACCTGATTTTTCTATTCGTATTTAATGAATTTCCTTTAGATGAAATATTGATTTACCAATGGCATTATTATTTGCATCATCACACTCTGTAATAAGTAAGGCAGTTAACTTATTTCCGATTTCATATTACGCAAGGGATTTCATCACACACGCACACAGACACACACACAGACACACACACACACACACACATATATGTATGTATGTATGTATGTATGTATATATACATATATATATGTACATACATACACTCAAACACACACACACACACACACACACACACACACACACACACACACACACACACACACACACACATATATGTATGTATGTATGTATGTATATATACATATATATATGTACATACATACACTCAAACACACACACACACACACACACACACACACACACACACACACACACACACACACACACACACACACACACACATATATGTATGTATGTATGTATGTATGTATATATACATATATATATGTACATACATACACTCAAACACACACACACACACACACACACACACACACACACACACACACACACACACACACACACACACACACACACACACATATGTATCCAGAAATGCGGGACCAGGTCGATGGGGACAGCAGTGACTAAACCTGACAAGAATTTGAGAATTTGTACATGAAGGTTAATATATACACACAAAAAGATGGATCTTATGGTCATATGAATGGGATAAGACGTTAAATGAAGAAGACTGTTGGTGAAAGGAAGTATAAAAAAAAGAGTTGGAGAACATCCAGGAACATTAATAATACTCAATGATGACTGGAATCAATTTTCATTTTCTCTTTTCTTCTTAATGACAAGTAGAGAACACTTCTGCTGCGCTTATTATTCACAGTAGATATGAATAAGAATGTTCTTCTATTATACTGATAGTATCTTCCGTTATCTTGTGTTATGTCTGTCTTATTTTATACAAGTATAATAAAACTAATATATTAGTCGTATAAAATATTCAGTACAATGTCTACTTTTTTTTCTAATACTGGATTTTAGTTCAACCACAAGTTATGTGTGTCAAACTGCCTTCCACAAGTACTCTCATATGACATCACCATTTCCGTCTCTGAAAGAAAATCCCATAAATATCATTTTCAAATAACAACATTCGTTTTTCATCAAATCTTGTAATCTACACTGGGACACTCCCGTATGATGGCGCAACAGGTGATATGGGGTTGCTATGTGAACATAAATATGGCAGGTCACGAGAGGGAACACATTATCAGCTAATCCATAGTACACGATGGTCACTTACACGCAAGCCGTTCTTCTCTTCGTGGCGCTGACGGTGAGTTTTGCGTTCTGAAGGTGTATTGTATCCCTGTTTAGGCAGAGTAAAAGCTCCGGAAATTATTGTGAATGGATACAAAAACATATCTTTGTTATAGTTTCATATGTATCAATTATGTTTTCTCTGTAATAGGCATCCCCGAGCACACAGTTGTGCGCCCCGGATTGCACAGGTGTAGACCCCGGGACCAGTGTGAGAGACCCTACCGATTGCACGAAGTACTATGTCTGTGTCGACGCTTCTGGAACAGGTAGAACTCATCAGTTGAATAAACTATTTGAAACCCATCTATTTATAATACCGTCAAGTCTCATCCAAATGGCTTAGCACAATACTACTTAAGTTCAATCATTCGACAGGAGAGCTCGTGCCATCGGTCGAGTCAGTGGATTGCCCCGACAACCAATACTTCAACGAGCAGCACACGACCCCGCGCTGCGACCCCATCGACGAAGCTCCGAGTGGCTTCTGCTCTGACCTGTGCAACCCTTGCCTAGCCGACTGCAACCACCCGGGAGAAGTGACTCCCAGCCCAAGCAACTGTTCCTCCTACTATGTGTGCTTGGACGGCGGTCACACCCTAGAAGTCGAGTGCCCAGGGTCAGCTCCCTACTTCGACTTCATGACCGGGAACTGCCAGATTGACTCGACCCTGTGCTACCACTACTGCGACACGTGTGTGCCCCACTGCACCCAACAAAACGAACGCGTGGCAGACCCCTACAACTGCCATAAGTTTTATCTCTGTACCCCTCCCACCATGTCCAGTTTTCTGTGTCCCCATAGCCAGGTGTTCAACAGGGAGACAGGTGTATGCGAGGATGATGCCGTGTGCATTACTGACTGTTGAAAGAAAATATTTGTTGAGTTTTCAGTATAAATGTTTGCCAGTTCAGCCGCACTTTTTCCACATAAACATGTATATGAAATAAACTTGTTAGATATA